CTTTAAAATCGAATTATTTACCCCCGCAAAAGAGATTCCATCCTCGTCCTCATACCATTCATCTAATCAAGAAAGCAGTACACTCCTGTGCCGAGAATATATTACTCTCGAAGAAGAAAAAGTACCTCTGGGTAAGGGATATTAATATCTTTCTGTGTGCGACCACTTTCCCATCAGATCCTAGTATCTTCCACCATATTGCGGAAAAGAAGCTGCTCTTTTCCCTCTTACCCTAGACTTAATCCTCTTTGGTTCGTGTTCCATTTACTACGATGAAAGTGGAAAAAAGAAAAAGAAAGCAAAAAAAAAAAAAGTTCATGACGCCGGATATAAGAGTCCCCCCTTCGGCCGATTTCCGATTCACTTCGGTAGATTTCGGAAGACTTTTCTCTTTTTTTTTTTTCTCTATTTTTCTTCGTCTCCTTGCTGTTGTTTTTGGATGGCATCAAGATGCAAGGAAGCATCCTTTGGGTAGTCCGTAGTTGCTGCTTGATGAAGGTAATGTGGACTGTGTGTGGAAGAGAAACTATAGTATTGTGATTGTGTGTAGTGGAAATGGCCCTATTTTTAGATGAGGAGTAGTCTGTTTTTCACACACTTATCCAAGCAGGGATGCGATTGTTAACGAAAATATCACCACCCGCTTCACTTGGTAGTTCCTGATACTGCATATATATATATACAGTCGGACCTCTGTATAACGAAGTCACTAAATCCCGAAAAAAAGTATGGAAAATTCGTCATATAGAGGTTCCTCTTTTAATATACTTTATAAACCATATAAAACAATTTTTAAATTCATAAACACTGTACATCAGTGTTTCTCAAACTGTGGGGCATACCCCCTTGGGGGGCGTGATAACTCTACAAGAGAAAAGTCGAAAAAGTTCTACATATTGAAAAGTCGAAAACAAAAGATTATTTTTTAAAAAATATTAATTTACTGAAAGTAAACAAAATACATTCTGACAAAAATAAAAAATAAAATGAACATTTACACTGATATAATATACTTGTAAATCTGATTACAGCACAATGTATTTTAGAATTAATTTAACAATACCAAGTTATGAAGAAATTTAATAAATATCAATGACTCCATGGGCTTGTCGCATATAAAATTATATACAAAAATTAACACATCTTGATCATTTGTACGGTTTATAGATAATCATTTCACCACCGATTAAAAGTTAAGCGATTCGCTTCCCAATGACTCCGTTTTCCACGTTGGGGGAAGGGGAAGAAAAGGAATAAATAAGGAAATCCTCTGTGATATAAGTAAATCCTTCGCAAACACGGTCAAGGTTCTTTTATTGCATTCCTAAGCCTTCGGAATAATTTTATGAATAGCAGTACACAGAGAAGATCGTACTTCGGAAAGACGTATATATGCGCACGGGTTGAGTGAGACGTATATATATTTGCCGGTGGCAGTTAAAAGGTTAAAATCGTATTGTAGCTATAGCGTCAAAGTACAGTATTATGAATTGAATGCATTGTTATTTGTGTTTGGGGCGTGGAAAATTATGATTGAGTATGGGGTCGCAAATATTGAAAGTTTGAGAAACACTGCTGTACATTAAAAAAAGTAATTATTTACATCTTTTTTGTAAATTAATATTAATATATTTTATGTATCTTACCCATCAAAATAAAGAAATAAAGAAAGAAAAAATGCAAGGAAAACAAGAAAAAGAATATCGAGGAATATACTGCATTTTCAAAATTAAGAAAATAATTTAAAATTAATGAATTTTTTAAGGATATTTTCTAATTTAAAGTATACAAGTAATTTTAAACACACATACTTTATTTTATAACTAGAGATTCTAAACATACATTACCACAAGCATCGTTAAACTTAATTGCTCATAAAATCTGTTAATTTTACTTAAGTTTTATTTTCTTTTTTTGATTGAGAAAAAATGCTTTGTTTCATAATATATACACTTCACATCTTTGCAATGCACCAAAACTCCCTTTATGACCACTATAAAATGTGTTAAAAGGGAAAATAACTTGAGATGTAAAGAAATACTTAAAGCATGGGGAGAAAAAAAATTGAATCACAAGAAAAAAGTTTGTTATAGAGAAAATTTCCTTCGCAATTGGGAGGTTATTTTACGAAGAAAATCGTGAAATGTTTTTGGTTCCAGGAAAAAGTTCGCCATGTAGAAAAATTCACAATATATAGTTTCGTTATATGGAGGTTCGACTGTATATATATATGCAACAGTTCCCTGTAATTTCTCTAAACTTTTTAATTAGTAATGGTCCTGATCTTCAGAACTTGCGCGTAAATAATTAATAAGATTACCCGCATAGAGGGATGGCTGTAAACATGTAATGAACCGGTCGCCCCTATTGGGAGAATAAAGATCAAACATGGTCAGAACAATTCTAGTTTATTATTCCTTTACTAAATTTCAACAACCCAGAGTAGGTAATGCACACTTCTATAAAGTATAGGAGCAACTACACGGCAGAAAGGATACTTAAAAATTTATAATTATTCAATTAGCTTATGCTTAGAACTTTTTGATTACTTACGGTCTGAATTACCATAATTCCTTTCTCAGCTATTCGACTTCTGGTCGTTATTATTCAATCATAACTTATGGACTAAATCGTCAATTAACAATCTTTAAATATTAAGCAATTAATCGTCGCACCACTCTCTACTAGATTTCCAGTACTTTACGCTAATCACTAATTTCTACCATCTTACTCTTAACATCTCTATCTTTCGTATCTAAAAGTTAATGCTTAAATATAAGCCTTTATTTACATAAATCGTGTCTTCTTCTGGAGAAAATTTTCAATAGAACAACTTTTAAAAGAAATCAATTTCCCGAAGAGGATTGGTGAGAGGTTCGCGGATAGACTCGTTACAATCCTGCCACTTGAAAGTTAACAGCTTGCAATTTTAAAAGTAGGATAACATTAGAATCTACCGAACGGTATCTTTCCACCAATCAGCGGAAGTCACGAGGAAGTTTGAGGGTCCGCGATGTCAGGCTAAAACATATAGGGAGGCCGCAGTGATCGAAATTTTAAAAACCACTGACCTAGAATTGAAATTTGCAGGCATGTTCATTGAGAACAGATCCACTAAGAACGGGTTTTGCCAAAATAAACTTTTATGTGCTGGGGTTTATAGATATAAAAAAATTTCCCGTTTTTCGAACTAATAAACCTACAGTAATGAAATTTAGTATACATGTTTCTTTAGTTGAACTGAGATCAGCTATGTACGGATCCGCTGAGAAAAGCGACAGACACACTTATTCACTCATTCATCACGAAATCTTCGGAATTATTTGACTCATAGCGACGAAATTCTGCAGCCATGTTTGTTTTGTTAAATGGGAATCCGCTAGGAACGGATTTTGCGACGAAAGTCCACTCACTCTCCAAGGGGTTGTGAGGACATTATCAAAAAAGCCCATTTTGGAGCCCCATTAAAACTACTGACTTAGTAAACAGTTTCCTTTGGTTGGACAGAGATCCGTCTAGAACGGGTTTTGTAAAACTCAAGCCCGAAGGAGTGGGTGGTTACGAAGTCTTATAGATAAAATTCCCGTGGTTGTTAACGTGTATTTTTATCCTGGGATACATATGAAATACAAGTGGAAAAACACAGAAACATACAATACAAACAGAAGAATATAGACATTTATTACAGATGGTGTGATCCCAGTATATAACAAGAAGGGGTGCGCTGCTTTACAGGCGATAAGTCCGACTTCTTTTCCCGAAGAAAATACATCCACGCGTTACTCGGGATTCGAACCCGAACCCACTCGGTAACGAGGATCAAATGCACCATACTGGCTGGGGGGCATAAAATTCCCGTTTTTGAATTATTAGACCAACAACTTGAATTTCGGTAAACCTATTTCTGTTGTTGAATATAAATCCACTGAGAAGGGGTTTTGTGAAAATCAATTCCCAAAGAGTGTTACGGGGGCGTTACGAGTAAAAAAAGAATCCCGATTTTGAACTATTAGACCTACAGACTTAAAATTCGGTAAGCATATTTCTTTGCAATGATTTCCATGTTAAAAAGGTTTTTAGGCTAAGAGTTGTTTTCATTAATTTGTTCCAGAATTACAAATTTAATATCTGCATGTTGCAGTTTTCTCTCGTTAAATAGTTTTGCAATTTAGTTGAAATTACTCAAAATATAATTTTAAAGTTTCACCTCATAAGTTTTTAACCCTTTCAACTCAATTGTGTTATATTTTTACAATTCATCAGCTAGTACTTCTTTTGAAGCACAGCCACATTCTAATCTTCAAGGAAAATGTTTTACAAATGATTTAGTTCTAAAAAAATTGTAAAAAATTATGTCATCTTGCAATTTTCTGTACGATATATAATCTCATACATTCACCTCCAGTTACTCCCTACTGCAGCGAAACAAAGTAGAGAAAATTCGTTTCCTATAATGGAGCTACTCCGAGTTTTCCCTTGTGGCATTTCCAGCTAATTTGCGTAACATTTCATTTTCAGCGGCACTTTACGTCAAATGCAAAGGCTGTAACGATCTCTGCGAGACAAGCGGTAACATAGTTTTTAAAAGTATTGGATTATTTATTCAGTTTGTGGAGAATGGAATAGGAAACTCCAAAAAGAGTAGTTATAATGGAAAGTTGTCCATAAGAACATAGAGTGAAAATGCGGACAGTTGTAAAAATAACGAATGAATAAGTAATATAAAAAAAAAAGTCAATTCCTACTTAGGTAAACAAAGAAAAATTTTATTTTAGTTACTTTTAATCATACGTACAATTGATATGAATATGTACATACATATCACAGAATCACAGTATTAAATGAAAAAATAGAAAGCGATTTTCCTTCCAGTTTTCCTTCTATATATAGTGTTGGACTATTTTTGTTTTTGTTTGTCCCTATTTATTCATTAATTAAATTTAATTATTCTAATAAAGTAGTATACACTAAAAAAGAAGTCACATTCTCAGAAATTAGGCCATCCCAGGTGGGATTCACTCACGACCTTTGGAATAGAAGACCAATGCGCTATCTCCATTGCGCCATAGGGACACAACGAACGATTTTCCTTTTTAAATATGCTGTTGGACTATTGTTTTTTTTTGTTACTATTTATTCATTTCTTAATTTAATGAAGGAATTAATATTTGAAAAACTGTATTAACATCAAGTGTCATCCACTAGAAGTTAAAAAATTGTGTTTGAACTTGAATGGATGAATAGAAAGTAATTTATTAACGATTGAAAATTTGAACAAGATATATATGAAATACTTCTTTAATACTTCTGCAGAGTATTAATGATAACTATGATGTCGTGTTCAATGGATGGTACTGTAACGAACGAAAGGATAGGGCGTGGCCATTGGAAGATTACTGTAAACTAGATACATTTTCTATGCTGGTTGATGTTGCGTATTCAATGTTATTGACGAGGCAGTTTTGTGATTAGTAAATCGTTTATTGCACATCTTGAAACACATAGACATTTTAAAGACATAAAGCATGGACGACACTACGTAGAATAAAGAAACTACGGCACTACGCCATACAGCAAGCTACATGCTTAAAGACACTGACAGAAGCGAGAAGAAGGCGGGATTTCCAATGGTCTCGGTATTTATAACCAGTGGGACATCCCATGATTTGGGGGGGGGGGGGGATGGATGTAGTTCTAGAAGTCCCCGTTAAGCGGGTAACTAATTAAAATAATTAAATGGTTGTCCTGAAGGACTGGACCATAGAAAAATCAAGAAATATTTAAGATTAAATTACTGAGAATTATTTCATATATATATATAGGGAGAGAGGGAACTAATATAGTATGAATTGAACAAATAAAAGAAAGACGGAATATTAATTTTTCGTTAGAACTAGTCAGTGGATTTCAAATATTGTGATTGTTTGCATGAATAACCGGAAAAACTGCCTGAATACACGATGGTTGCAGTAACTTAGTAGTTACGGTCACGAACTCGTGGCCGATGTGTCATAAGTTCGAGACCTTGTGCCACTGAAAACCCACCGTTCAGAGAGGCTAATGCACGTTAAATCTGTCAAAGTTTGAAGTCTTGCCATGGGCGTAGTGTGGTAGATTTCAGAGGGGGTGCTAGCTGAAGGGTCATCCTCGTCTCTTTACCATGATTCAAAATTTAGAGGTCCATCGGCAATAACGCTCGTGTTACTTTATAGTGCTTCATTAATAAGCACTCACTAGTATTTATATATATATAAGTAGGTCACAAACACAAATACTTAAGTAAAACTAGGGTGGGGGTGGGGTACACCCTGTCCACCTAACGGCGGACCAACTCCCATTGTACAAATGATACAACTGTCCGTGCTCATTGCTCAAATTGTAAAACTGTAATTTACACGTATTATGCTTTTTCGTTTTTTTTCAATATATTAGAAATAGAAAAAAAAATTAAATTTCAAGTCTTCATATCCACGTTTTAATTTGTACTTCAACTTAGTGCCTGTTCAAAATCAATGTTCCTAATCATTTTTTCCTCTAAATTGCACAGAATTTTTATTTCGTCTTTGCAGCTTGACAGAGACACATACGTGTAAATATTATTTTTCTCGATGTTACACATAATCTGACTTTTTCAAAACTCTTCCCCTGTAATTTATTAATTGTCATGACAAATGCCAATCTTACAGGAAGTTGCGTACGTTTCAGTGCTAATAGAATATCCAAGTCTCCTCGATGTTTTACTGAAGTTTATCGAATGTTATCAATAAATCCACACACACACACTCAGGAAAGGACCAATTTGAATTCCATTATTATTTGAACAACACCCACACACAATACCAGTATCTCTAATCAATTTATTTAAGGTATACATACAATTTCGCCTTTCTTATCTCCTGGTAAAATTTCACACTACAATATATTCTAATGAATATTTTTCCCTATTAAACTTGTACCATTGCACAGCCCATCAGTAATACATAAATAAGTATAAAGCACAGACTATACTCTTTATATTGGTTTTTATTTTGAATTTCCTACAAAGTTGAATATTTTTCTGCATATGCACTTTTATTCATAATTGACTTTAAAATTAGCAATTCATCGCCATGTTTAATTATTTTTGCACGTACATACAAAGCCTCAGCATCATCATAAATGTAAATTTGTCTAAACTGTGGTTATGTATAAGTAAATTTATTCCAGCATCACGAAAAACTTTTTTATGTACAAAACAAGTAATACAAAAAATATTTAAGTCAATATCTACTTAGCTCAGTAAAGAAAACTTTTATTTTAGTTATTTTTTTATTAAATAATTACAATTAATATAAATATGTTTATACATATGACAGAATCACAATATAAAGTGACAAATATAGCGATTTTCCTTGCGATTTTACTTCCTACATATGGTATTGGATTATTATTTTTGTTTGTTACTATTTTTCATTAATTAATTTTAATTATTCTAATAAAATAGTATAGTTAAAAAGAAACAGATTCTCAGAAATTACGCCATCACAGGAAGGATTCGAACCCATGACCTTTAGATTAGAAGTCCAACGTGTTATCCATTGCACTACATGGACACAACAAACGATTTGCCTTTATATATGCTGAAAGAGTGTTATTTTTGTTTGTTACTGTTTATTCATTTTTTTTTAAATTTAATTAATGAGTTAATATTTGAAAAAAAAACTGTATTGACATCAAGTGTCATCCACTACAAATTTTAAAAAAATGTATTTGAACTTGAGTGGATGAATAAAAAGTATTTTATTAACGACTGAGAATTTGAATAAGATATATATATATATATATATAGGGAGAGTGTGAACTAATAGTAGTAGGAATTGAAAAGTAAAATTACGAAATTAATTGTATTGCAAAATCCAAAATCTCTCAATTGAGATCTATTAGCAAAATATAAATAAAATGTTGGTTGACAAAGTATAAGTAGGATAGGAAAAAGTAAGATGAAA